TATTTTTTTTGTGTTTTGTGAAATTTCCACGTTTGACCCAACATTTTTTTTACTGTAAAACGTATTTTGGACAAAAAAAAAATAGTCATATTCTACTCGTAATTCATAGAAACGTTGAATGAAAATGTTCTAAGTTTCTAACTCTTTGAATGTTATACATTTGTAGGTATAGTAATATTCTTATTCCATTTGGAGTTAGAAAAAAATTCAGTGTCGATGTAACCTAACGTATTTATCAAGATTACTAAGAGTATATATTATCAGACAAGGCAAAAGAAAAATCATTATTTTTCATCCATCGCTGTATATAAATATTAATAACAATTCGTTTTAAAAGCTTTTAACGCGATTGTTTCAAAGTAGAAAATATTAACTCTTAAAAAGCGTTGCGTGTCGTGTAGACGACCTATCTTTCTTCTTTTTTTCCTCACTATGGGTTAAAAATATTGTTGAAATTTACAAAAAAACAAGACAATATAGTAAAAATAAAACTATTTCAGAACAAACTAGGTAATATTTACTGTCCCGTTTTCCATTAGTTAATTTTACCATATCGATAAATTGTTATTGTTTCTTTGAAAAAAAATGTCGATCAATCGTTGAAATTTTCTCTGTAGCATTGTTTTAATTTCTATAAATAGTATCCCGTCAATTGATCGAAGACAATTGTCCTTATGACAATTATTGATCGAAAAACTAAAACAATTGATCACAAACAAAAATTGATCGAAGAAAACTTGTTCGAAAAACTAAAAATTATGTAATTAATTAAATTAATAATAAAGTTATATTATTAATTAAAATATATTTTAAAAATAAAGTCAACTAAAATTCCTAAAAAAATTATAAAATAGGTACCTACAGTTAATAATTAAATTTGCAGTTGAAAATTATTGGCTATTCCACGTAGATAATCGAGAATGTTCAGATCATCATAATCAGGGATAATTTACTTATTCACTTCTTCTTGGTATTTTATTTTTTTTTGAAGTTCAGTGCCAGATTTGTGCATTTTTATCTTTATCTTAAAATTTTCATGCTCCTATCATTTGAAAAAATTAAATTAATTTTTGTCTTATCCAAAAATTATGTAGATATACTTTCGAGAAAGTTTTATAATACCTACCTATTTGGTTTGTGGTATAAAATGACGATAGCTTATGATTAATATGAATATTTTTAAAACATCGTTCCGCATAACAAATATAATAATATAAGTAAAAAATTCAAATTCCTACTAAAAATATTTTGGAATTTTCAATTCTAAGCTATGAAAATGTATATTTAAATATAATTTGAACTAAAATATAATTTTGATTTCATCGTGGTTTTGTCAAAATTAATTATAGCAAGAATTTAAAAAATAATTGTATTAATGTATATCTATGGATCTCTTATATTTTTAAATAGATATAATAACAATTAACGAGAGATTTTTTATCAAATTCACATGCTTTTAGAACAAAGTTATATTTTTGATAAAATTCAATTAATATAAAAGAAGTCACAGAATTTTGAAAAAATTTCAAAAAATGTTGGTATAATCACCATTTGGTAAATATAAGGCACCGTTTACTTAATCTATTCAACTATAGTTAATCAATCATAAATTCGTACAACTTGAGATCGCTCTTACAAATGTGATTTAAAGCAGTCAAGACAAATATGGATAATTACCCATTATTATTAGATGCTTAATTATGAAGATGTCACGGGAAACTTAGTCAAACACTTTCGAAAAATCATTTTATCAATAAAATGTATATACCTAAACGTTTTTTACCAGGATCAAATTCATCATAATAAAAGAAATAAAATACATTTTTAGTAAAAATGATGACAAATTTTTTTTATTAAAAAATATGATTTCCTTATATGATATTTAGTATGCAAATTATATCATATACTGCTGTGCCTAAATTTTATACATATATATTATCGTTGTTATACGTGGCAATACATTGTGGTTATACATTAGGTCAAAAGTTTTTGCCAACATATTACATTACAAATGTGGTTGCGTGTAGAATGTAGAATGATATACTTAAAAAATAGTTTCAAGTACCTTCAAATAATATTTTAAAAACAACATGTTTTTGAAAATGTTATTATTATCAGTTTGCTATGACAGACTAATTATTATTCTTTTAAAATATATTTTTCATTAGTCACATATTATAGAAGTTGGGAAACTACATAATTGCATAAAATTGAAAGATGTGAACTCTTTTTATTGCCAAATATGATGTGGATTTCATACAAACATGAAATAGAAATAATATGCACGTCATTAGACAGGGCTTAAACTGAAATTGAAATCGGAAAAAATGTTTTCGCACAGCTCAGAACCTATAATTAAAGCTCATTCACACCTTTAACTTTTTAATCATTTTTTGAACTAATCATCGACACTAATTATTTGTAGTTCCATCCAATTCGCCAAATAAACGACGAAATAAAATACATTTCATTTTGTAATGTGCAATTGTTTCTAAACTTGATTATAGCTATAGCATAACCATGGTCCACTTTTAATTCCATTTCCCGGTATCTACTGAGCAGGTACAGAGACGATAGAAGGACAACATAAATTAAATATTATAATAAGAACAATATAGATTCTGAGTTGAGTGATAAATTTATTGATTTTACAATAATGTGTGGTTTTTTTATTTTTTGTGTCTGTGTACACGACATGTAGTAAAAATAATGCTTCAATTTTTAAGAAAAATTTAGAGAAAACAAGACTTTTAACGTAAACCATAAAAAAGATACATGAAGTTTTTGCTGAATGTCTGAATGTTTAAACTAGCATCGTTTTATACGAAAAAGAAACAATTTTAAATATATGCTGACCATTTTTGAGCTATATATTGGTATTCATAAATTTCGAATTTTATGGATATTATTAAAATAATTATTGATGACATTTTTTTTCCTTCAGTCAAAAAAACTTACTAAAAAAGGTTACTCATACATTTTTATTGGAAATTTAAAAATAGCTGATCGTAAAATGTAAATGTAACAGCTAGTATTTGAAACCGATATTGAATACTAATTTTGAATACCAGTAAAAACCGTTGTAAACTGAAATCGATATATCGAAAGTGAAAGGTGAAATCAAAAAAATCAATCCCAGAATTCAAAACTGAAATCTTAAAAATGTTTTAGGTTTCAAGCCCTGCAAAAGCCTTGAAAAACAAGGTTTCTCGTACATTTTTATAAAAATATTATTTAAAAATATTTAACATTTAAAGATTGATGAAATTCATTAAAACCTCGAAAACTTGAAAAAATGTTTGTCGTTAAAAATGCATGAAATTTTAATTTTTATAGCTAAGTATTAAAAATTTAAAACAAATTCCTCGTAAGTAGTTCAAACTACTTACTGTAAGACATATACAGTAAGTAGTTCAAACTACTTACTGTAAGACATATACAATTTTTGTATATTTCTCATTTTTATCACCTAAGTAAATATTTAAAATGCAATTTGAATATACCACAAATAACCTATCCGCAGTTGCTCTAAGCATTTTAAACAGATGTGTAATCGTTTATAAACGTGGCCTAATACTGTAGGTTGAATACGTTTTTGATAAAAAGTTGTACTAAAAATGTTATCAGGTCTATAAAATGTATTAATATGCTTAATAAGTTTAAGGAAATTCGAATAATATATTATAATTACAACCATTTAACTATAATCGACAATCTTCATTTAGTTATCTTATTTCCAAAAAAAAAAATGTACGTACAATATAGGCATATTTGGTACACAACGTTTTTGAAAATTTCAATATTTCCAATTTCCTACGGGCTATAGGAGATGAATTATAATTCTTTTAAAATATAGTTTACAGTAGTAGTGTTGTGAAATTCACCAAAACTGAAGTACTTTGAAAGATGAAGATTTTGTAATTGCTTAACGTTATGTGGATTATATGCAAAAAGAAATTGTATGTACACTTAATTCTGTTTTCAGAACAATTGTTCTGGTTCAATTAACTGGATCGAATTTTTTAAATTTGTAATGATTCAACGTCATTTAACCAAAAGATATTATCTGAGAATGGTCAGGAAATTGTTGACTTACTTAGTCAATACTTCTCTTCAGTAATGATACAGCTCTTAGGAATAATAATATTCAGTCTAATATAGTTAAATTTATTGATCCGTTAAATACACTTCATATTTATATCCTTGATATTTTCAATGAATTTGATACTCTCTTTCCCAAAACAGCGCTATTGACTCTGACGGTCTCTCTCCTATATTTTTATTTAACTGCAGTTTTATACTTTCTCCACCTATCACATATCCCTTCAATAATTCTTTAAGTAATGGCTCATTTCAATCGCTTTGGAAATCCACTTATATTAATCCTACTATCAAAAAAGGTAAACTAAATCATTGATCTCAAACTACCTTTCTATTTCAATAATTTCTATCCTCCAAAAAATATTTTCTAAAATATTAAATAATATACATACACCTGTATTTAAAAATATTTTAGAACAGCAGCAGCATGAATTTCGTAATAATAAATAATATCTTAATAATTTAATAACTATAAAACATCATATAGTAACATTGTTTTCCAATAATCATAAAAAAAAATGTTATAAAAAAAATCATAGTCAGCCTAAAATATTACTTAGTTATGTAGTGCATATTTGATGATGTTATTGTGATTAAAGTAATTTATTTTACATTTTATTTTAGCATTAGTAGTCTAGTGATGAGCACTATCGAATAGTTTACACTATTCGAATGTTTTTAAATATAACCGATTAGTAGTTTGATAGTCTATTCGAATAGCACTATCGAATAGTTAGAGCTCTCGCCTATATATCGTACGTTATTATATTTTTTTCGATTGTGATTCGTAAATCGTAATTGAATTATTTTTGTATTTTATTTTTATATTTTTATTGTGATTTGTAATTCGTAATCGAATTATTTTTGGAATTGAGTATTTTTGTGTTTTATTTTTGAAAATGTATAACAAAAATCGTTCTGGTGTTTGGAATTATATGGCCAAAGATCCGAACACTCCAGGTCAAATTCAATGTAAATTATGTAAACTAAAAATAAAATATTCAAATAATACATCAAATGTTTGGGACCATTTACGTCGAAAACATAGTACAGTATTGGAAGCTAATAAATTAGCAACACAAGTAGAAGAGGTTGATGACATAAATGTTTCCAACGAACCATCGACGTCTACAAGTAATATACATTTTTTATTTAAATTTTTAATTTAAAAATTAACAATTCTATTAGTTATTTAAAATAAGTATTTTAATAAATAAACTGGGTGATTCTTTTATCAAACAAGACTTATTATTTCGAAAAGTATAAACATTTTTGAAAATATTTTTCTTACGTGGCTTCAAATCGTTACAAAACAACATTTTTTTTTTATAAATATTATATTTTTAACATTTTTACTTTTTTAAATGACAGCATACAGTTTTAATTTCATATTCAAAATCAAAATATTTTCCGAGTATTTCGATACCTACAAAAAAATCGGATTTCAATCGAGTAATTATTGAGTTATAACTTTATAAGCATTTAAATTTTAAAGTTTAGATGAGCGGAGAAGTGGACCAAAATTTTGCGGGTTACCCTCATACCACTCCACTCCGTTCGTCTAAACTTTAAATGGTTATACAGTTTCCTCATAAACTACCAGTGCGAAATTTGATTTTTATGTATCAAAATATTCCAAAAAATATACTGCTTCAGAATATGAAATTAAATCTGTATGTTGTTATTCAAAAAGGAAAAAACTTAAAAAATGATAAGGTTTTTGAAGCAATTATGAAGTTTGTTTGATAAATCACCCTGTATAAGTTGAGTACCTATGTACGTACTAGATACTAGATACTACTATACTAGATCGAATATTATACGTTACACAAATTAACAAGTGACTTCAGATAAAAACTAGAAAGCTGACTAGAAGAATAATTTATTATTACAATTTTTCATGAATAATTATAAAAAAACCCATTGTTTACTTTAAATTGTTTAGTAATTAATAAATAATAATTTTAATAATAATTATTATTATAACCTATAGGTACTTCTTTTTAATTTTTACTTTTTATCGACAAAAAAGCATTGTTTAGTTGAAGTATCATTTAAATTTTAAATTTCATAAGTTAATGATTTTTTTTTTTAATGTCATCATTAGGTACATTTTAGTTTCTAATAAAAAAAAAAAAATAATTCAAGATAATATTTCTAAAACATTTAACTGACATAAAAATTAAAAACCAAAATTGTCATTAATTGTTGATTTACTTTGAAAATAATATCTTAAATAAATAATTTAAAATTCATCTTTTTTTAAGTGAAGTAACCTCAATTAAAATTAATTTTTTTAATTTAAATTATATTTTAATTTGTAAAACTCTTCAATTCTTTGCAATAAATATTTGTTTATCTTCTTTAGATTCTACAGCAGTGGCTCATTATGAACACAGTACTGTACAGATACAAGGACCACCTACCAAAAGACAAAAACAATTGACACTTAAGAATAGGTAATATTAATAATATTTCACATTTGTATAATCATCCAGATACAAATTACAAATAAACCTATTTATATTTTAATTCATAAAAAGTTAATTAAGCATAATATTCTTTGATAGGTTTAGCTTACCACCTGACAGTAAAGTAGACCAATTCAACAAGGCTGTGGTTGAAATGATTGCAGAAGATATGCAACCATTATCTATCGTAGAGAACAGTGGATTTCGAAAACTTATTAATCTATTTGATTCGCGTTATAAATTGCCTAGCCACAAACTTATTGGAACAACTCTTATACCAAATTTGTATGAATCGACGCGTAAAATGATTGAAAGTATTTTGTCTCATACAAAATATGTATCACTTACATCAGATATTTGGACTTCATTGAATACAATATCTTTTATAACTGTAACTGTACATTTTTTTACAGTAATTTTAATTTGAAAACATATGTTCTAACTACAAGAAAACTGGAATCCAACCATACAGCACAATACTTATCTGGAGTACTAACAGATATCATTAGAGAGTGGAAAATAAACACTAAAGTTGTAGCAATCGTCACAGACTCTGGTGCAAATATTAAGGCAGCAATAAAATTATTAGGAATTGACCATATTCCATGTGCTGCTCATCAATTAAATAATGCTGTGAAAAATGCATTGAAAAGTGAATTTGAAGAAGATGACATTGACACAAACCAAACTGAAGAAGTAGATATGATGAAGCTGGTTAAAATGTGTCGTTCTATTGTTGGGCATTTCAAGCATAGCGAGGTATCAACTAGAATTCTTCATGAAAAACAGAAACAACTAAATTCTCCTGTTTTAAAGTTAATACAAGATATAGCAATTCGTTGGAATAGTACACTAACTATGATGGAACGTTTGCTATTAGTTAAAGAACCTCTGATGCTGGTTTCAATGGGCTTACCACGATGTCCAAACATGCCATCAAATGAACAGTGGCAAACCATTAATGATTTTGTTATACTTTTAAAACCATTTGAAAGTTTAACAATACAATTATCATCAACACAAAAACCAACTTTATCAAAAGTTATTCCATTATTAAGAGGTAGGTGTAATCATAGTAGATACTAAATATTTGTACATCTATTGTAATTTTACATTTGAATAATATTTTTTTACTTATAATTTACAAGTTTATTATTATCAGTTAAGAATAAGGTTCCAGTTACATTAACAGGAATTTTTTTGAAAAAAAAACTCCTTGAACAAACAACAAAACGATTTGATGATATTGAAGAAATGTATCCATCACAATTCTATGCTAAGGCTACTTTATTAGATCTTCGATTTAAAAAAAGCTGCATTTACATCAAATGATAATGCCAATGACGCTGAACAAGAAGTGCAAAAAGAGATAGCAGACTGCATTAAAACTAATGGTAAATCAATTTGATAAAATGTGTTTTTGTGTTTAATACCTTTCTTTTTTATAATTGATAATTATAGAGACATAATTATAAAGATGATTTTTTTTACAATAAAAGCTTGATCTTTTAGATGATAAAATTCATAAAATACAAAAAACGTTTTACAATCAAATGTGAAGAGATATACACTATACACTATATAGTATATAGTATATAGTATATACTGTGTACTGTACTAACTAGTAACTACTATTGTGTATAAGTATAACGTTGAGTATTTGTAATTGTTTAAAAAATTTAAATATAGGTACATTTATTTTTTAAGTTATCATGATCCTATTTAGTATGTATGTATACTGTTTTTAAAATTAGTTTATAATTTTTATATTTACAAAGTACCTATAGAAAATTAATTTTTCTATAATTTATTAAATTTTATTAAAACATGATGAATATAATTAAAATAGTAAAATGTCTAATATAATGAACAAAAATAATAAACGTATATACAAGTAAAAAAAAAAATAACAATATTAGGTTAATTCTATTATAGTATATTATATAAATTATGAACCATAAAACTATCAAGTATAAACTATAAGCTTGATAAGCTATAATAAAAAAGAAATTTAATCTAATTCTAATGTGTAAATCTGCAAACTGACTTGAAAAACAATATTTTATACTATAAATATTTAATATAGGTATAACTGTATAAGATATCTATCTATTTTTATATATATTTATAAAATATGATAATATTTAAAATAAATTGTACCTAAATTATTGTTTTATTTAGAATTTACATTTAAATTAATTGAATCAAATTATTTTTATTCAGTTCCTGAGAGAACTGCACTTCACCCAAGTGTAACTCAGACAACTTTGACACCAGAACAACTAGAAGTCATTCCAAAGAGCAAGAAAATTTATTAAATTATTTAGAAACAACAGTCACCACACTTCGGTCCCAAACAACATATACCAGTACAGCATTGACATTATTTAAACAGTACATGAATTTAGAATTTTTGAATATTCATGATGATCCAATATTATTTTGGAAAAATAATAGACAGATGTTAGGTGCATTATGTGACGTAGCTTTAAAATACTCTTGTATACCTGCCACATCTGTACCTTCGGAAAGAGTGTTTTCCAAAGCCGGTCAAATAGTTAGTGCCAGACGAAATCGATTATTAACAGATAATGTGGATAAACTAATATTCTTAAATGCTAATTTAGAAAAATAAATGATTTTGTTTTCCATTGTTTTATCTTATATTGTTTTTATTACGTTTTATTATAGGATTTAAAATATTTAATTTCTTTTTTTTTAAATAATTGTTTTTGTGTTTTTAATGCTTTTATTGTTAATTTTTTGTTAAATAATGAATAATAATGTAATAATTAAATAGATAATACATTTTAAGAACCTATTGTTCATGTTTTAAAATTTAAAAATATATTTATTATTTGGTAATGACATTTTATTAAAATTCTTTTTAGTTTTTCTTTAAAAATTTAACCATTGGTTTAAATTAAGAGGTTATTTTAATTGTTGGAATAAACTATATATTATTTTTTACAACTAGGTATGATTTCTATTTTTAATACATTAAATATACAGTTTAATAATATTATTTCTTATGATAAATACTAAATAGTAAATACTAAATACATAAAAAACTAACTTATGATTTGATAATTCACTTTAAAATTGAGTTTTTTCTTTTTTCTTTTTATATTTAATATTCTTATGTTCAAACAAAAGTCTAACTTAAAGAAAATCGATAACTTTTATAAAAATGTAATTTTGTGTTGGTCTATAGAAAATTTGAAAATATAAGCTGTAGAAAATTATCTTTACAAATTCCTAATTAATAATTATACATTAAAATTTAGAAAGTAAATAAACTTATTGTTCATAGAGATATTTGAAGAACTCTAAATTCTAAAATTTAAATCTGATATAATTTCTTCAATGGATAAAAAATTAAAATACAGTTCGATAGTGACTATTCGATAGTGCCCATCACTAAATTTAGTACTACAGTAGTTTAAATTCATTTTTCCTAAAAAAATACATTTTAAAAGTTAATATAATAACGCATTCCAACAGTTTCAAGTAGGTAAACACGAATAATATTTTTTAATCAAAACAAAATAATTTCCTACAAGAAAACATGATGTTGAAGAAAATCAAAGTACTTTGAAGCATATAATTGTTTGTTACACACGCAATCAAATTTTTAATGTAATATTTTGGCAAAAACTTATTCAACCTTATTGTGTACTTGTGCCACGTATTATAACACATCTGTTTAAAATGTTTAGAGCCTGCGGTGCATTGAATTTGTCTACTAAATATGGGTACCAGGTGATACAATAAAACATTTATACTAATAAATAATAATGTACCTACCTATCAGCAAGTAGTACGACCTACTTATGAGGAGCCTTCTTTTTAGTTTTTAATACTTAACTACAAAAATTACAAATTTGTTTTAAAAGTTTAAATCGCTTATTGATATTATAACATTTTTAGATATATTATTATTTTATTATAAATGATTGATTTAAAACTTTTTCGATTTCAAAATAAATTTTAATATCGTAAAGAAAAATACTTGATTTTGGTATCATTTTTATTTCTTGTATGATTTAAAACGATTTCCAGAGCCATTTTATAAAACAATAGGCATGGGCCCAACACTAAATATCTTCTTAAAAGTAAAAAATTTACATATTTTGTTACAAATTTAGTTTAAATTTTGATTTGACAATGTTGTATTATTAATTAAGTACTAATTAGTTTAAATTGACTACAGCATACAGTTACAGTATTCTATAGTGTACAGTATATACTATTAAAAGGGAATAGTACATATAACAATGAACTAATGAATACCTGGGAACAATTATAATTTAATAGATACATACCTAATTTATTTATTGTTTATAATTGGTATTATTTAAATAAGACTATAAGGTCCACAATGTAAAGTATCAAAACCTCGTAATCAGTAAAGAAAATATGAATCTCAAATGAAAAAAGAAAAAAATAGAATAAGAACAAAAGCAAGGCACAATTCAGCAATACAATATTATTAATAATTAACCCAATTCCACTTTCCCAATGAGATTATTTTCACCATTATTTGGGATTTCTTTTTGATTTTGGTAATTTATCTACTGTTGATTCAGATAGGTACATTGATACATGATTTGAAAATTATTTTATGGTTTGTGAAAACATTGACATAAATGGAATTGAGTGGTTTTATTGATCTAAATGATTTTTAATTTTTTAATTTGGAAGATTTATGTTTCTTTGTTTTATCTCCAGATATTAAAATGGACAGATACTTTTCTGGAGTTGAAAATACAATTAATAGTTTTCGTGCAGTTTTGTGAACATTTTCAAATGCATACATTTTATAATATTAATCGTGTTATACAATTATTTAAATCTGTTTACTTTTTAGTATGTAATAGGTACCTATGCCATTTCCTCTCACTATAATCTACTAGTATATAGCACAGTTGTCGGCAACCGGCGGCCCGCGAGTCCATTGTATACAGACCGCTTTAAATTCTGCAACGACGAAATTTAATTGAATATCATATCAAAACAATCGTATTGTATAAATATAATTGAACATAGCGTTTTTTAAATAATTTGTAGTACAACGTTTTTATTTTTGTCTGACCCTCGAAATCTTTTTATTTTGTGTATGTGGCCCGGGAGTCTAAAAAGATTGCCGACTACTGATCCAGCACTACGCCAGAATGGTTATTCTCAATATTACATCAGCCAAGTACAATAATAAAATATTATAGGCACTATTGAAAATACGTACACTGAGGTTTATAACGCTACATTCACTAATTACCCTAATCTGGAATCTTAACACCTTTTTATATCACGTTTTATATAGATGACAAAATATTATTTATCTATAACTATTTTCCCAGTTGGTTTACCCAGTTGCAATAGATACACATATTTTGTTTCGTATTCGCATAATAACTCTTTATATACCGTTTTTCAACAACATTTAATACTATTCTTACTTAATATTTTTCAACGCAATCATTATTATTAATTTATTGTTGGTGCCCACAGATATGGTTAAACTAATTAATTTGTTATCTATATGTTTAATGTTCTATATAGTTGGAAATATTGATGCACAAACAGATAAAGAAATAAAGTATATTTAATTTTTATTCCATATCACGACAAATCACATTCACACATTTATATTCATGGATAATCTTAGGTATGAAACGAAGAATTATAATTTAAATGTATAGGTACATTGTATACAATTAGAGTTATTTTCATGAAAAAGCTATAAATACATATTACTATAAAGATTGCGTCTCATCTCAATTTCGAAATTTTAGTGTATTTTTTAGAGTGAAATTATCATGAATTTGGGTGACCTATTTCAAAACTGAAATCAAAACTTTAAGTACCACTAAAATTTCCATTTTCTTGCAAACTTTACAATACTGCACAACTTCATGTAAGCAAAATTAATAATAATAATTCATAATCCTATAATAACTATGAATATTTGTACAACTTCAATTTTTTTTACCCGTTTGATATAATGCAATAGTAAAAAATCATGAGTATACATGGATATCTTTTTTTTAATGTCTTTTGTTTATACGTTTACAATGTCTAAGTACTTTTATAACAAAATAAAAGTGAATAAATAAAATTACTAATGTCACAATTTTTACATTTAATTAGAAAGATTATTCAATAATTATGTATTTGTAGTTGATTATTTTGGTAATCTTATGTTTGTCTATTCACATGTAATATCTTTTAGATATATTTTTTTATGATTATAAAAACATTTACAGTTAACATTCATTCAATAAACCGCATAATTATTATAAAGAAACAAAATCTGTGTATTTATGTTTATTTTCTAAGAAATGTTTTTCTATGTTTGATGGTGTTATCAAACATACCAACATTATGTACAACCAGACAAATTATTATGTTACTTTCAGAATAATGCCCTTCAATTCATTGATTACTTACTTTATAAAAATAACATGCTAACATCTTTATGGTAATTATGATTTGTGAAGGAAGTATGTTTAGATTCGGTCTTATAAATGCAAGCGGTATGTATGTTTTCTAATAAATAATCGTACTATTTTACGGTTCTGGGTATCCTTCGCTTTACATCCCTCAGAACGAATCGGCCATAGCGACTCTCCTCTCAATCACTACCCCGGTATTATTCTTACTCCCTCTAATCAACTCGGGCTACACAGCGGCTCCATCGGGACACTGTGACTCCCTGCGCTTCACTCTCTATATTATTGTATACTTTTTAAGAACTCAAATATGTTATATACATACATACACATCTGTACATTTTTAAATACTTATAGTTTTATTGAATTTTCCTTAAAGTCTTGATTATTGTAATATAAATGATAGTATAGTCTATTTTTATAGCCTAGAATTTTCAGATTGAAACAATTTACACTATCTATAGTTCTCTGTTTATTTTGAATGTAACCCTTGAGTTCTTTTCGCTTGACATTCGGTCCTTCATACTTTTACTAGTCTATTGATTAACTTACGTGTAACTGTATCAGCTCATTTCATAAATCACACTCTTTCTAACAATCTTACAAGCATCAAGATCGAGAATTGACCACCTGATGTTTCTTCCTCTTCATGAATATTTTTAGTGCTGGTTATAATGGTTATAAGAGTTATAATAAGAAATGATGTATTTTGGTTACGTTTAGGTATTTACACACGTTTGTGCTGTCGATTAGATTGAAATATAAAAACAGTGACAAATTGAGATTTATGAGTAATATTTTTTTATCTTTTGATATATACAGAAAATGCGGATGCTGATTTTAATATCGTATTGGATAAATTCTGT